TTCTTTGAAATGCCATAAAATTTCCACCTGTCCCTTGAAGGACCTTTTTAGTTGGCTTAAGAACCAGGCCAGTATATGATCTGAGAAATAATATGAATTCCCATGAGTATGTGATCAGTTGACTCTAAATGCTAAGAAGTTAAGTTTTCCTACAGACTAAAAAGATTTAGAGAATTCCTACACTACTCTTTATCACACAGAGTCATTAATTCAAGTAATTCAGGGCCCCCATGCACAGAGGAGAGTCTGATAAGATTTTACTCTGAACTTGCTAGAATCTTATCTTTGTCTGAGATTCAAGCATCTCACTTAGGCCATGAAAAGGGGAAATTTAAGCTGTTTGTGAAAATCCACCCTGAGGTCAGTGTGGCTGAAGCATTTCAGTTCTCCCTGTCCTAGTGGTTCACCTCTAAAGAGGAACTGGGCACCACCTCCTAGAAGGAGAAATCCCCCTACACTGAATGCTTCTCTGAGGAAACACGGATCCCAAGTGGCCTTTTTCTCCTGCATTCTTAATACTGATTTATCATTGTTGCAACTGCTTGACATCTTGCAGGGCAGTGTTTCATTTTTTTTCCCCCTTCTTCCCATTCCCTGTTTGAAAATGAGCTCTGTATGTTAAATATTTTAGACTCAGCAGCACTAAATGTTTTCAGGCTTTGGATAACACCATTACTGCTAGGAGAGGAAGAGTTTAAAACAACTCTGATGCCAAACTTCAAGAAAAAGGAGAAGGAAAAAAATAGCAAAGCATTGTTTGTTAGACTGTCACCAAGCACTGTCACTCAGAGTCAGTCTTATTTGTATATGGAGACTCCTACTGCAGCAACTGAAAGCAAAAAGCTTGGGATTTTCTAGGAGAAAAAGAGATAATCTTTTCTAGCTAAAGAATAGAAGCATTTAAATTATTCTCTGAGAAGGTCTGTAGGGAAAATAAATAATTCTAAGCACAATAGTATGTCTATTATGGGACTGTTGTTAAGATTTCAAAACAATGAGGGCAACTGTAGAACCCATTTTAAGCAGTGATTGTCATCTAGTGGAGGCTCACTTTTAACCCAAGATTGTTATATTTCAAACTAAGGTCAAGGAAAAGATAGGTTCCTTTGGCATCTATCAGAAAAATCAGCCTGCTGATAAATGCTGTGCTTTCCAAGTTCAACTCTTAGAACAGTGTGTGAGTAGGAGACGAAGAATAAGGCAAGATCTTTTTGCTCTTGGCTCACTTTTCCCATATAGGCAAAGCCCTCACCTTCATTTTCTTGGTTCTTTGAAAGCAAAAAAAAAAAAAAAAAAAGTTTAATGTTATGGTCACAATACCTGGTGGGAAATCACTTGAGTTGAACTTGTCACCCTCTTAATGCACTTACAATGACAGAGTGCTGATTTGTGCATCTAATTATTGAAGCCTAATTACTGCTGCACTGAAATCAACGTGGCACAATAAAATATGCACCACATTCCAAGGAATGAGACCTCATGTGGGTGGTGATCTTATTTACTGTCTTACTCAAATAGGAACTTTGTCAAAGATTCAAAGTTATCCCTTTTCGAGCATCTGAGCTCTTCAGCACATGCCTAAAAGTAACTTTCTGACGTTACAAGTAATGAAGTTTGGCTTCACAAGTGGAAATTACTAATTTATTAGTGTTCTTTGAGGTGGAAAATAGGCATGTAGATAAAGGGAAACCCATAGATGCATTGTATAAGTTCTTTAAAAAGCACTTTTGAAAATGTTCCACACCATGGGTTACTAATAAATGTAAAAGCTGTATTCCTGGGATGGAGGAGTACTGTTTTATCTCAGAAAGTTGACTGGCTTATGAAGCAAAAATAAAATGTTCAGAATATGCATGATCTTTTCTTATATAAAGAGAGAAACCAGAAGGGGGAAAGTGGTGATTCTTGGGGTCAGTGTTATGATGGGTCGTATTTAACATGCTTATTTGCATGAAATTGATGAGCAGTTTGGTTTCCATTGACAGGTCTTACTCCTAAGTATTCTGTCAGTAGGTCAGAGCCATGACCGAAAAATCTGTTTTTAAATCCTGACCAACAGTCTTATGATTATAACTAATTTGTCATATGTCAAGCCTTCTTCTGAAAACTTTACATGAATGAACTCTTTTATTTATAACAACCCCAGGGAATATTACTATCACTATATTTTTTTTTACAGATTAAGAAAATGAGACACAGAGCAGTTAGATATTTTGTCCAAAAACATGCAAGTGGCACAAACACAAGCAGATGTAAAAATAAAAAAGTGTTTTCAGGGATGACCAAGAAGAAAATGGATATTATTGCTTATTGTTTGCTAAAAATGCTGTTTCCTCTTGCAAGTCTTCTCCAAAAGGCCATAAGTATAGTGACTTCTATTGAACATTGTAGTTCAGTTATTCATGGACTCTGTTTTGCTCACGTTTAAGAAAATATTTGTTAGATTTCATTTTATTCTTTTTAAATTTTTTTAAGATTTGTTTTTTTTATTGAGTTATAGTCATTTTACAATGTTGTGTCAAATTCCAGTGTAGAGAACAATTTTTTAGTTATACATGAACATACATATATTCATTGTCACATGATCTAAGTTTTTTAATTGTAGTATAGTCAGTTTACAACACATCAATTTCTGGTGTACAGCATATTGTTTCTTTATTGTTCTTTTTGGAAATGTGTAGCCCTGTTTGTAAGAAAGCTTTAATGATATGAAAGAACAAAACAGCAGTGTATCACTGGGGTTTCTTCTTCTATATCGCTGGCCAGGGATTCCTTTTCCTTCTCTCCCTTGGGGAGTGTGTGTGTGTGTGTGTGTGTGTGTGAATTTTCAAAAAGATTCAAGCAATTCCATGGTTTATGAAGGCACACTTAACACACAGAAATAATGCAATAAGAAAGGAAAATGTGAATTCATTTTCAAAAGTTCATCTAAGAGAGAAGAAATGACAAAATCAGATATTTAATGTAATGGACCAAATGCTGGGGGAGATTGAGATCAAGACTGGGCAGAGCTGTCTTGATTTTCCAACAAGTGTCTTACAATATCCCAGTGATAGTGGGATCTGGGGGTGTGGAGGGTGAAGTCATAGCCACAGTACATAATGCATTATTTCAGGATGATTTCAATCAAGCAAAAGAAGGTTGAGTGACATCCTGCTTGGTCATAGCTATGAGTTAAGAGAAAGGGCAGACTCTTATATCTATGGAAATTTCATTTATCAGTGACTTTATATTGCTGCATAATTATTCATCTTGATTGTCACCTGAGTGCCTTTCTATGCCAAAAAGATCAGGAGCTTATAAAGGACAGGGACAGTGGCTTTTGTTATTCTATATGCCATTTGACAACTAGCAAAGGCCTGGGCATTGAGAATTGAACTAAACTTAATTGGATATATCAGATCAATGTGTCTTTAACTTGCTGTTTGTCTTTGTGATCCAAAAATTGATATATCTAATTCAGTGTTACTCAATTTAAGTTTTCAACTTTTTTCACCTAATTGACAAATTTGGATGAGAGAAAATGCAGCCTTATATCATATACAGATGTTGTCTTCATATACACATACTTTCACCAAAGCAAGTCTTGTCCTCAGTTATACTTTAGAATCATATTGCTGAAACTTTATCAATTGGGATTAGTGCCTAAAAATAATGAGTATTCTTACTGGAATGGCTTTTCTCATTAAAATAAAATTTAAAAAAAGATTTAAAACTGATTTGAACACAGTAAGTTTGTATCCTAATTTTTTTCATAAAGATCCCAAATTCCATAAAGCGCCATAAATATTTTGTAATCTAATGACTGTTAGTCAAAGAAAACATGGGCATTGGCTCTGTATAAAACAAAAAAGGAAAAAAAATTATCGCCCCCTCTAATACATTTGCCAACGTCCCAAAGAGATAAACAATCCGTTCATAGTTCAACACTATTGTATGTTTACAAAGCATAGTGGATTTATTCTAACATTTTCCCACCTGGAAAAACGGGTCTTAAGCATCTTCGGCAATCAAAAAGCAACACTGGGTTCTTCTCAGTGTGTCATGTTACCTAGTAGCAATCATATACTTGCAGGAATGGGACTGGGTGGTGGTGGTAACTGTAAAGGTTCTGCTGTAAAAATTGCAGATGGAGAGCTTGGCTCTGGGGATGGACCTGGAAAGGAGCGGAAAGGAGCCTGGAGAAAAGGCTGTCATATTTGCTCAGAAGAACTGCCAAATCAGAGAGCAGAGAAGATTTCATTGGAGGAGCGCCTTCAACAGCAACTAATCCTGTCATATTGAAAGAAAATTGTAAATGTTCTCTCCAGAAATTGTCCGCCCATTGCAGCTAATCGAACACAGGCACACGAACACCGACACGCACTCCTGTCTGTGTACCAAAGGTGCCCGGGCGCAGAGACCCGCTCGCACACACACACACACGCGCGCACGCGCGCGCGCCTACACGCATACACACACGAATGCACACACATGCCAGTCAGCTGGTTGGCCAGAGACTTAAAACCACAGATCCCACTAGGAAATCGCCAGAGGCACCGAACTAATTAGTAATTAGTTGCCTCTACACTAATTACTACTTCCCTCAGCACTTTGATGAAGAAATGAATCCCGCCCAGCTCGCCGGTCCAGCTACGTCTCGGTTCGATTTTGCTCTCCAGACACATCTTCGTGAAAGCCAGGTTTGAGAGCCCTTTTTGCTTCTCGTTTGGTGGTTTGGTGTGGAGGACGGGGGCAGCGTGGGTTTAACTCCAGTCTACACCGCTAAGGGTTTCCGGACTCGCTAAGTGACTGGGACCGGTGTGGAGTGCGCGACTCTGCTCGCGCGCGCCCGAGCCCCGCAGCCCTCGCCCAAGCTTTTGGGTCCTCTCTTTCCCCGCCTCCCCCGCCCCACCCCTCCGAGTGTCGCGGCACCAACTAATCTTTTCCTTTTCGTTTGCAAGATCAAGGGGGAAAGCAAAACGGCCGCCGGCCTCGGACTCTGAGCCGCGAGCAGCTGGCTCCCCAGCAGGTCAGCCCCGAACCGGAGAAGGGCTCCACGCTCCTGCCAGCGCACACCAAGGATATTGCAGCCCGGGGAGGCAACTGGAGCTAAACCGGCCGCAGGTAAGGACACCGTGCTGCAAAGCTCTCCGCTTGCTGGCTCCGAGGACCCTGGTACTGCAGGGTCCTTCCCAGTCCGCAGGAACAGGCGCGAAGGGATCGAGGGTAAGGAAATCGAAGGATTCCTCCACAAGTGCAGATCCTTAAATGGAAACTTTGGCTCCTGGGGCTCCGAGAACTGAGGGCAGCGATGGCGGGTCTGGAAGGCAGGGGCAAAGAAGGTAGGGCGCAGGGCGGGGACGCGATTCCGCGGGTCACTGAGTCCGGCAGAATGGCGAAGGCAACCTGGGGTCCGCGCCGGCCAGGGCAGCGCTCTCTCTTACAGCCCGCCATCCCCTCCACTGTCACCGACCCTCTCCCCCTCCCCGAGAAGCCATAGCGGAAAAGACAAGGGGAGCTTCGTCCTCTCTTGCCTCTCACATTCCTTCCTGCCTGGGGTCTTACAGGCGTTTGAGGTGGACACTAGGCGCCCTCGGCTCTGTACCTTCCTCCAGTTTCGCCTTCCAAACAGCCCTTCGGGCGCCCGCGTCGGGTCGCTGGAGAGAGGCTTTTTGCTGAGGTCGGAGGGGCACAGCCAAGGGGCAAGAGAATAAGAATGAGTAGAGGGTCCCAGGACAAAAGAGAGGGAAGCCTTCTGCAACCCCATCCTATTTCGGCCCGCTCACGAGGTCGGCTGTCCGCCTTGACTTTAGGACAGGGTCTCAGCCCAGAGCGCGCGAGGTCCCGGATCATGCCTGGGCTTTGCCGTCAGCCACCTCACGATGGGTTCTGGGCCACCCCGCGGGGTTTAGGGTTATAGATCGGGAACCTGTGAACCCGCAATATCCCTCGCGGTCCGCATTTGCGGACCTGGGCGATCGCCGCTAACTTGTAGCTCTCAAAACCCGCGAGGTGTGGTCAAGTCCGCGCAGGGGAGATCACGCAGAAATTCCACCTGTGCGCTCTGCCCAGTACCTTGGGGCGCCCCTCCAGGGGCAGGAGGCTGCTCGCCCACGAGAGCGCCTAACAGGTCAAGATTCCCCAGAATCACGACTCACGAGTCAGAAAGCAACACACACCCACTGCCTCAGTGCCCTTCCAACATCCCCATTCCTTTCTCTACCCTCCTGCTCATTGCCGTCCTAGAGGCTTCTGTGAGCCACTCAGTAGCTCAAGGGAGAGTCCGCCGAGGAGCTCACCAGTCCGACTCTGTGAAACCAGTTTTGCCTGTATGGAAATATCTATGGGGAGTCATCGGGACGGAGAGGTGGGAGGAGAGCAGAAAAATGAAGGTAGACGCCTAAGGCAAGCAGAGCTCCCTGCTGACACCTCACTGGACCGCCCTCCCATGTCCTTAGTCAGTTGACTGCCAGCCTGTGACCGAGGCCACCGAGGGCTGCAAGTCAGCCAGCCCAGGTGCAGCCAGCCCAGCAGGAGCCCAGCGCCTCGCGGTCCTTCAAGCCCCCAAATCCCCTGCATTGACTCCCTATTTCCCTCATATCTTAGCTTTTCTTTCTTTTTC